CACTGTTGTTGTGCTAATCTGAAGGCTACATGAAGTTTGGAGGTCTTTAGCGATTGACTCTGCAGAGAGTTGTCGACTTCTGAGCATTACAGCATGCACTGACCCCGCTCAGTCATTTTTATGTGGCATACCACTTTATATATAATTTAGTAACAAGGAATATTTAGCAGCAAAGAAATTTCACGGATGGATTTATTGCACAGGTGGCAACCTATTACGGTACCATGTTTGAATTCACTGAGCTCCTTAGAGTGACCTATTCTTTCCCAAATTTTTGTAGAAGCAGTCTACATGCCTAGATGCTTGATTTTATATACCTGTGGCCATGGAGGTGATTGGAACACCTGAATCCAATGATTTGAAGGGGTGTCCCAATACTTTTGGCAATATATAGTGTGTGTGTGTATATGTGTGTGTATATATATATATATATATATATATTTTTTTTTTTACCCACACACACGCGCGTGCGCACACACACTCACCGACCACTTTATTACTAGTACCAGGTTGGACCCCCTGTTGCCTTCAGAACTACCTTAATTCTTCATGACATAGATTCAACAAGGTGTTGAAAACATTCCTCAGAGATTTTGGTCCATATTGACATGGTAGCATTAAGCAGTTGCTGCAGATTTGTCGGCTGCACATCCATGATGTAAATCTCTCCCACACCATTACAACCACCACCACCTCCAGCCTGAACCATTGATACAAGGGAGGATGGATCCATGCTTTCATGTTGTTTACACCAAACTCTGACCCTACCGTTTGCATGTCGCAGCTGAACCATTCTTCCCATTCTCCTCTGACATCAACAAGGCATTTTTGTCCACACAACTGCTGCTCACTGGATATTTTCTCTTTATCTGACCATTCTCTGTAAACCTTACAGATTGTTGTGTGTGAAAATCCCAGTAGATCAGCAGTTTTTGAAATACTCAGACCAGCCCATCTGGCACCAACAACCATGCCATGTTCAAAATCACTTAAATACCCTTTCTGATGCTCGGCTTGAACTTCAGCAAGTCATCTTCACCATGTCTACATGCCTAAATGCGTTGGGTTGCTGCTATTTGTGTTACCAAGCAATTGAACGTGTGTGTGTGTTTTCTGCCACCTTCAGCACTGAATGTATGTAATGGCAGGGGGTGCTGGGTGTGTTGGAGGGTCTGTTGTCTACTGTGACAATAGACCCTCCAACACCCCCTGCCATTACATACATTCAGTGCTGAAGGTGCCAGAACCTACACACACACACACGTTCAATTGCTTGGTAACACAAATTGCTAATCAGCCAATCACATAGCAGTGACTGGAGAACGGTCTTTGCATGGTGGTCTATTGTTGCTGAAGAGGGATCTATTGTTGCTGGAAGAAATCCACTGTTAAGGTAGGGGGTCTATTGTTTGCTGATTGGAGATCTGTCATTGTGGGGGTCCATTGTTGCTGGCTACAGGGTATATATTTTACTGATTTTCTTTATCATTAACAAATTCCATACAAAATGATACTTGGCTCTGTATTCTCTAAAAGGAGCGATATTGGGAGGTGGGTAGAGGTTGGAACCAAGGGATGGTGCTCTGAGGGGAGCAGGGGGCAGAAACAAGGCGTCACTAAGAAAGGGGGAGTTCCTGCACCTATTCACTGAGAAACAGCAGCACACACATACACATGTGTATATTTATTTATTTATTTATTATATTTATTTTTTATGTATTTATGTATTTTTTAGAGCAGAACATTTTGTTTTTATTTTGTTTTCTCATGGAAGTGTTAAAGTGGTTCTAAAGGCTGAAGGTTTTTTTTTTTGTACCTTAATGCAATCTTTGAATTAAGGTACTTACCCTTATACTTACCTGAGCCCCATCTCAGTCCAGTAATGTGTACAAGAGCAGCAGCTCTTTCCACTCTCTTCTTCCCCATAGGCTCAGAGACAGTAACGGGAGCCATTGGCTCCCGCTGCTGTCAATCACAGGCAGTGAGCATGGAGTGAGAGGCCGAGCCAAGCTGGTTGCTAAGGTGGGCAGTTGGCAAGGGGGAGGAGCCAGAAGCTTTGTAAGGGGACCTGAGGAGAGGTGGATCAATGAAAAACTATTGCACAAAGCAGGTAAGTATAACATGTTTCTAATTAAAATACAAAAAACAAAAAATCAATGGGTTTACATGTACATTAAGCTGGCCATAGATGAGTGTTTCTTTTTTTTTTTGTTCAGTCAGGAGACTGAAGGGGAAAAAAGCCCCACAGATTTCTTGATCCACACAGACTAGGAGGATGGAGGAATCTCTCCTATCAATACATTTTATTCTGACAGCGGGACTTTGCACTGTCAATATACAGTGATCAACAGCTGCAGCCATTGATCAACAAACGTTTTTTTTTTTTAATTTGTCCATTCGACAGAAGTCGACCTGCGGCACTGCAGTGATATCTCTCTCTCATACATCCTGAGGCCGGTGACTGAGCCACAGTCTGGAGGAAGAGGTGACTAACTGAGCAGAGGAAGGCTGCACCAGGCAGGGGGGCATCAGTTATTAAAGACAAAGAGGCTGTTCACTTTGCAAGGGAAGTTGCACTCTTCATGGGAATTTTCCCCAAAACTTAGTGAGAATGAGGTGAAGCTCTGCCATCATCCAATCATGTGTATGCAAAAATGCAGTTTTCTAATTTTTCTTTGCATGTGATTGGGTACTCTGGGGCAACTTCCCTTGCAAAGTGAACAGCCTATTTGCCTTCAAACAAATTAGCAACACAGTGGGGTTGATTTACGATGTCCCCAGTGAGTTCTCAGTGGATAGTACTTGCCATTTCTAATCGTTATTTAGGGCACTTTCACACGGGCGGTTTGCGTTTCGCTCAGCAAGGAGTCTGCTTATAGATTCCCTGCTGATTGGAGTAGAGCGGGGTAGATGACAGGTCTGTGTCTGCTCAGTTTCTGCAGAATGGGCACGGACAGAGCCCGCTCTGCTGTCTGTTTACACCCAGCTGCCTCTGATCCGGTCTGCCCAAATCAAGGAGGAATGCGGCCCTCTCTAATTTTTTTTAGCGGGCCTGATTGAATCTGGAGGTAGGCAAGTGTAAAAGGACACAAGTCCGTTTATACCTGCCGGTCCATAGGAATGCATGTACCTTCTGATAAACTGACAGGCAGACCTGGTCAGATCTCCCACGTGACATGGCCCTTTAAATTTATAAAAATCTGTGCTCAGTGAAAAGTGTATAAATACTTATAATCCTTCAGATAGCTGCACTCATCAGTATTTGAATAACAGATAACAAAAGAACAAAATGAAAAACATTGTTGTGCTATCCCTTTTTATAACGGCATAACTACAGTCAGTCCAAAAACTAATGTGAAAGAAATACTAGTGACTAAAACTGACAATTCCATAGGTGAACTTCATCATGTGTGGGGGGGAAAAAAATTATATATTTTCCATATGTGACCATCAAAGTGCAAATCTTGTTCAACGGTGACCCCAAAAAAACACAATAGCAGCTCTACTCTGATTGTTGCAGCAAAACGGTCTCACATGTATGAGTGGACACTAACGGCCACTCCACATGTGAGGTTTTGCTGCAAACATCGGAGTGAGAGCAATAATTCTTGGGCCATCATTCACAAATAACTCTACAATGATAACCTGTAAAGGCTTTTAAAGTTTCACGTGGACTTTTTCGGTACTGTAGCTTGTCACCATTTCACAGGCACAATTTTAAATCTTGACATGTGTCTATTTACTTGATGCAACGTCATCTTTATTTTACAAAAAAAATGGGTATTACATTGTGTTTGTGTGTACTAAAATTAATTTAAGTGTATTTTTTTTTCTTAAAATTGGCATTTGATAAACAGTGCAAATGTCTGATGCTGACTTTTACCCTGTGTGTGTGAAAAATATCAAACATGCCCCAGACTGTAAGGGGTTAACAAATTCAAACCTTCAAAAACAAAAATAGTCCATAAATAAATCAGTGGAAAACCATAATAAAAATGTGTCCTTCAAAAAATTATATAGTCACGCAGTGAAAGTTCCAAAAATCCTGGTGTTAAAGCCTTCCAAATGGCTCCCCCGCAGGGGCGGACTGACAACTCATGGGGCCCCCGAGAAATAGGGGATCATGGGGCCCCTGTGTCCTTGCCCAAACTCAAAAAAGCCTATGAAAAAGGTAACAGGGGCATCTCATGGGGCCCCCTACTGACCCCGTGCCCTCGGGCAGTGCCTGAGTTTCCAAATGGTCAGTCCGCCCCTGCTCCCCCGGACAAAAAAAACCTCAAAAGAAAAGAAAATTCATATGAAGCATTATCCCTGATAAATCATCAAATAAATACACTGGATAAGTAAAGGAATACACTTATTCAAATGAATACACTTAGTCAAACCGTATCAAACCAAAAAAACACAAAAAGCACACAAGATCACTGACAGTGAAAAAGTGAATAAATGTGTCAAACGTGACAATGAATCAAACAAGTGCAAAAAAGCATCCAGCAACAGGTGTCAGTAACTGTGTTCACTTCTATTGTGTAAGGAGTAAATACCCTTACCAAATATAATTAATAAACACGCCTTTAGAACCATCAATCTAAGATAAATTCCACAGAGTGTACTCCACCGAGGAGATCCTTTTATGATACCATCACAGTTATATGGATGAAATCCTGATTTCCTCTGGATATTCCTTTATCCTCTACTACCAAGCACCACCGATGCCCATCATATATGAAACAGAATATAGTGTAAAACCACCAAACACCATTAAAATATACTTTATTAATGTGCTTACACTTTAATTCATCTTTAAAAATGCCTTTAAACAGAGATCAAACCTCTAGGAACGTCCTGGTATCCTCCACATGTGTTTAGAGAGGATTTGCCAGTAACCAAGATGGCCACACCGTCACACTTCCGGTTCCGCTGTGCATCCCTTATGATTAAGGCATCCCTTATGATTAACCTCCCTGGTGGTATTCCCGAGTGTAGCTCGGGGTAGAGTTTCAGTACCAAAAGCAGTAACCCCGAGCTACACTCGGGAATACCATGCGGCGTTGCTCAGGGATTCCCTGCAGCGCTTACCTTGTCCTTCGCTCCCGCGATGTCCCTCCTGCAGCGTCCCCGGCCATCTCCTCCGGCCGATGCCGGCATCCAGCTTCCGTGTTACGGTCCCTGTGACGTCGGGACGTACGGGGGCTGGAACCGGTGGCAAATTTAAAAATTTTAAAAACTGTCATTTTTTTGTAAATGAATATTACATAGCAAAACATTGCTGTTTCAAAGCATTTCACATACTTTTTGTTCCTACTGCTTTGTCCTGCGCCCTGCCTGCATTTTGACTGTTCTTTCTGCCTGGAAACTTAGAAAAGTCCATGGCGTCCAAAAGGCGTCCCTTTAGGTCACAAGTGGTTTTAGACCGACTAGAGAACAGCGATAGTAAATCAGAACCACTTGCAGAATTGAGTGATAATGATTTGTGGGGAAATTCATCATCAGACACTAAAAACGATTCTGCGACTTTGCTCAGTGATGTGCAAACTTGGAGCTTTATTTCAAATTTCAGTGTTTTTGGTTTGATTATATTATTGAATTAAATGTATTATTATTATTATTTTTATGATTATTATATTATTTATTTTTATGATTATTTAATAAATTATAATTTATGATTTCGTGTTTCAAGTTTTATCATATCCGGAATGTATACTAGACTCTTGTTCAGACAGATTTCAGTGAGTTATTCCTAAAAATTACAGGCCTACAATAAAAAAACTACATATTTCCATGCAAAATAATGGTACCGCTTTCAGCACCAAAAATCTGAAATAATCATACCGCCAGGGAGGTTAAGTCCAATGACGAAAACGCGTCAAGGGAAGTGACGTCAGACGCACAGCCGAACCGGAAGTGACGGAGCGACCATCTTGGTTACTGGCAAATCCTCTCTAAACACATGTGGAGGATACCAGGACGTTCCTAGATCTCTGTTTAAAGGCGTTTTTAAAGATGAATTAAAGTGTAAGCACATTAATAAAGTATATTTTAATGGCGTTTGGCAGTTTTACACTATATTCTGTTTCATACATGATGGGCATCGGTGGAGCTTGGTAGTAGAGGGTAAAGGAATATTCAGATGAAGTCAGGATTTTATCTATAAGGCTGTGATGGTATCATAAAAGGATCTCCTCAGTGGAGTACACTCTGTGGAATTTATCTTAGATTGATGGTTCTAAAGGCGTGTTTATTAATTATATTTGGTAAGGGTATTTACTCCTTACACAATAGAAGTGAACACAGTTACTGACACCTGTTGCTGGATGCTTTTTTGCACTTGTTTGATTCACTGTCATGTTTGACACATTTATTCACTTTTTCACTGTCAGTGATCTCGTGTGCTTTTTGTGTTTTTTGGTTTGATATGGTTTGACTAAGTGTATTCATTTACTTATCCAGTGTATTTATTTGATGATTTATCAGGGATAATGCACTATATGAATTTTCTTTTCTTTTGAGGTTTTCTTTGTCCAGGGGAGCCATTTGGAAGGCTTTAACACCAGGATTTTTGGAACTTTTACTGAGTGACTATATCATTTTTGAAGGACACATTTTTATTATGGTTTTTCCACTGATTTATATTTGGACTATTTTTGTTTTTGAATTTATTTCATTTGATACATGCTTGGAGATTTATATATGGTATAGGTAGCATATAATTATTCACATACTGTCACACTTTTAGGTTGAAAGTGTTCAATTCTGCTATTGAGTATACTTTTAGATTTAGATTTATTTAGGGGATACCGTACATTCAGATATTACATTAAAATCTTGTGACATTTGGGAAGGGGTACAAAAATTCAAATGACAGTCAGGAAGGGGTTAACAACTGTCAATGACTGTGACAGTCAGGAAGGGGTTAACAAATTCAAATCTTGTGACAGTGAAAGTCAGGAAGGGGTTAACAAATTCAAATTTTATGAGCTATTTTTAGAATCTGGCTGTGATGTCATCAAAAGTTGACTGGGTATGTAGCACACAGAGTCGCATAGCTCAGAATTCTAGTAGTTTCTTTGGTGTCAGCCATGTGATGCAGTGGTGAGAAGGTTCCACACTTTGCCCCTGTAGAAGCTTTATAATATATCAGCCAAGATGGTATAGCATAGGGACATAGGCACTAAGAGTCTGTAGAAAGTTAATAACAATTAATAATTACCGATGCTTATATATACTAATCATATTATTTATTTATTTTTTTAGAAAGGGTATTAGAGTCTCAAAGAAACTTTTTTAAAATTTCTTTAAAAAAAAACATCGCAATGGCATGGCAGCAAGCATCAAACGTTGCAGCTGGTCTCCAAAACCTTGGCAACACTTGCTTTGCCAACTCTGTTCTGCAATGCCTTACTCATACTCGACCACTCGCAGACTACATGCTCACTTGTGAGCATTCTCAGAACTGTAAGTATAGTTTTCCACAACTTTGTACCTCTCATAGCTGTTGGGTGATTGTAGCTCTCATACAAAGACAACCTGCTACTGTTTAGTTCTTATTAATTGATGGTCACTGTTAACTGTCATTGAAGTCCATGCTTTCTTATAGTATGATGAGAATCAATGATTGATCAGCAGAAGAAGATTGTGCAATCAGATTAAAATAATGAGGGAACACTATCCACTCTGCTTGACTATGCACACTGCATTCATAGACTGTCAGCCATAGTGTGGAGCTGGAAGTGCCCCATAAAGTGGGGGAGGGGGAAAACCAGTCATGTGACTTTGACAGATCCCATGACCCAGTTCTCCTCTCGGCTATTTTTATTTATTACACTCATTCATTTTTACTGTGCTCCTCCAGCTTTAAGACTACCAACCCTAGGTTCACACTTGTGCATTTGAATGGGCTCTGGTGGCTGCGTTTCTTGCAAAAAAAGTGGTTGCAAGGAAATTGCATGGCGCTTTTGTACTTTGCGATTTCCCTGTGGTTCCCGCACCCACAAACACCCAGGTTTAGATGCGTCGGGGTGCCATTAAGAATGAATGGCAGCCCCGCACATCTCTAAAGAGCAGCTTGTGTTGGCTGCAGGTGGTTGCGGGTGTGGGAACAGCTCCGATTCCCGCACCCGCAACTACCCCTAACAGTGTGAACCTAGCTTAAAGCCCATTGAGTGCAAAGCACATTTGTAAATAACACTAACGTGCTTTATGAATGTGCAGTGTTTTTTTTTTTTTCCAAAGCAGCAGTATAGCAGAAGTGTGATTGTACTGCTTCTTAATGCAATTCAATACCGGGCAATTTTACACCTTCCTGCCCAGGCCAGTTTTCAGGTTTCAGCGCTCTCACACTTTGAATGACAATTGCACGGTCATACAACATTGTACCCAAACTAAAATTTTATCATTTTCTTCACACAACTAGAGCTTTCTTTTGGTGGTATTTAATCACCGCTGGGGTTTTTTATTTTTTGCTAAATTAACAAAAAATACCAAAAATTTTGAAAAAAACACACGTTTTTCTTTGTTTCTGTTATAAAAGTTTGCAAATAAATAATTGTTCTTCATAAATTTAGGCCGAGATGTATTCTGCTACATGTCTTTGTGTGAAAATAACCCAAATTAGGATGTATTTTTTAGTTTGTAGGAAAGTTATAGAGTTCACAAACTATGGTATAGATCTGAATATTGATCAGTCCTGAAGTACTGACAGCCAATCTACTTTCTTGAGGTCCAAGAATGTCAGAATAGTACAGATATCCCCCAAATGACCCCTTTTTGCAAAGTAGACAGTCCGACATACTTCATAAGAGGCATGTCGAGTTTTTTGAAGTTGTATTTTTTTTGTCATAATTTTTCGGAAAATGAAAAAATTTTAAAAATTTGTAACATTGTACTACTTTGGGGAAGTGATCAGTATTTTTTTTTTTTTTTTTTTACACAATTTGCTTATAGCAAAGAATTACTTTGCTATAAGCAAGCATTTACCTGAATTACATCGATTCATTCAGGGTTTTTTTTTTTTTTTGTGTTTAGCTGTGATTTGGCCACAGCTAATCACATGACATGTGCATGTGATTAGCTGTGACCATTCACAGCTAGACACTAGTATACAATGGATGGCATGAATGAAGCCATCCATTGTATACAACTGTCATGTGACCTGCTGTGATTGGTCACAGCAGGTCACATGGTACCGGCAAAGGGGGCCGATACTCAGATCTGTCATCGGCCGTGTCCGAGGTACACGGCCGGTGACAGATCGTGCTGCAGGAGTGCAATCTGCGCATGTGCAGGAGGATGCCATATGGCGTCCACCCGGAACGCTGATGACATTTGATGGCCGCCATTCGGCCATAGGGTGGGCGGCAAATGGTTAAACGTGTACCCCCTAATGTTTTAGCTATGTTTAGACCTGGTGAATTGAGGCACTCAATAGTGCTGGCCACACAGGTTCCAATCTGCTTTAGACAACAAGAGAGTACAAGGATCCTGACACTGTGTTTATGAAGACCTACATTTGTGTGTGTTTCTTTTTATTTAATTTTTTTGTTGTTTTTTACCTGTCTTTATTATCATTTTAAATCTCTTTGATTTTAGGCCATTTGAAGAGGTTCTGCATGATGTGTACAATGGAAGTGCACATGAGAATGGCTTTCAGTAATTCAGGCAATGTTATGATTCCGGATATAGTCATCAATCAACTACCAAGTAAGTACTCTTTCTTCACTGCACACTGACAATATGAATGTCTCAGTGTCAGATGTTATAACTATGACCCATTAGAACTGGTCTGATGATTTGAGGAAACTCCTAGGTTGCTGTGTACCTGTAAGGCGTTGGCACATACCTGTTAAAGGAAAAGTTTACCTTTTGCCCAAAAATAATAAATGCGCATTTTTTTTGCAGGTTAAAAAATGTTGCATTTATTATTTTTGGTTGCAGGAGCATGTAAAGCATTGCACCAGTGCTCAGCAGATCACTGATGCCATGCAGGTCTCCTGCAGATCTGTCAGTATATCTGCATTGGGATGTACAGGCAAGCAGATATACTAAGAGGAAGATTCAATGAACTACCATGGCACTCCACAATGCTGTGGTAGTTCAATAAGAACTACAACCTGAATGTCGCTAAGGATTTCAGGACTTGTAGTTCATTCATTCACAGAACACTGTGAATGAATGACGCTGCAGTGTGGGCGGAGCACTGCATGGCTGCACTGTTTTTAAATCGGACAGCTAGTACTGAGAACTCCCCATACTTCTGTCACGGAGGGGGGGGGACAGCAGGCAGTGGCTGTAGCATTGGGAACATGTTACATGTTCCACACTATAAAAACAGGTGGAATGTGTAACATGT